GTAAATTACTGCTAACAGGTAAGTGCAGCTTGAGGGAACTGTGCTTTCATTCCCTCAAATTCTTAAAGCAAGTTGTCAATCACTGTCATTCTAACCACCATTCTTTTCCACCTGCCTTTTAATAGTATTGTGAAAAGACACACACACATCAATATAATCTCAGAAAAACCTAGTCAATCTGAAAAGAAAGAGGCAGCATGGCCTATGAAATCAATGCCCATTGTCCTTTTCAAACATACTCAAATATTAGAAAGCCTCCTGTCAAATTGCACCCTCTTTCCGAACCATTTCTCTTTCCCTGCTAAGAAAGCACCTAAACCTGAAACGTCCCTGTTTGCAAACAGCTGCTTGTCCTTCTTACAGGCAAACTCCTTCAGTAATCACCACAAACTGGAGAGCAAACTCCATTACTAGAGCAACAGGAGAGAGTCATGCAGCATTGCAGTTATCCTTGGGAATTGCTGCTACTGCCTTCTATACATCAAGTGTACCATTAACAGATCACATTATTTCTTCCACACAAGCAGCAGTTGGCAACTACAAAGTCAGCAGACAAAGCATGGCTGCCTTCCTTAGTGTGCCTACTACTGCATGAATTATAACCACAAAATGCAGCAGACTGGTGTTCCTTAGAAGTACTCCTTGCACCCCAGAACTATCCAGCCAACTAGTCACGTATCACAAAAAGGTGTTATAAAGGATTTGAATTGTGAAAAGACATTAAACCATCATGTTTGCCAATGCTGATTTGCTCTGTCAACACCTGAAACCTGGCACTGGACTACTGTTACACTCAACAACCTAGACATAATCTATTTTCTTGATAACACAATTATTTTTTAGTTCTCCATTTCGGCTCTGACAGGTACCAGGTTCTCAACAGGTTGCCATTATTATTTTAGGTGATGTTCTTCATCACATTCATTCCCAAATCCAGTCCCAATGAGACCAGGAAGAGATAGCATAGTTTAAAAATCACATTTACTTGCCTTCCCAAAACTGCCATTCAGGAAGACTTTAATGTAACCACTTTGAAGCAGTAGTCAATGGGACTCAAAAGGCAACATTTTATTAACTGCTTTTTAAAAACTTCTAAGGCCAAGAGAGATACTCAAGGCAAACTGCAGATTTTGTGAATTGCAAAATCCATGACCAATAGATTTCCTATTAACTTTGATGCTGCTAACACAAACATTTAACACATGCTTATTATATACACGTTGCAGTAACACACTAATGCATTAAAACCTGAAACAAATCCAATTAAGTGAACAAAAATTAAGCTGATCAATGTACTTATGTTGCAAAACAGACAGCCCAGTTTATGAAAAGTAAATCAAGCTTTCTCAAGTGAATGCAGTTTTAGCATTACAGTAACAATGACAGACCCATAATGTACACATAAGAACAAGGTTAATTTTCACTCCCCTCGAGGCCAAGGCTGATCCATCTTGTGTTGCAAGTTTGGACCAGTGACTGGTTCAAGCCCACACTTCACGTGCCTCAGAAACAAGGCTTTTCCCCCACCAGTCAGTCTTACAAACCAAACCATCACTGCCACGGCATGAACCTCCCGTTGCCACATGGACATCAACAGGCACCCAAGTGCTCTTCCATGAGCCACAGAGAGGGAAATTACTGCTCCAGCAGCTGAGGAACAGCCTCATAGCAGCTCCCAGGGAAGAACCAGCAGGGCCAGGTGGCTGTGGAGGGGCTGTGACCCCCAGCCCGGGCTGGAGGAGCCGCTTCAGGCCTTCCCTCAGCCAGGCTGCAGACCCCAGGCCCTGCATCCCTGATGGCTCCCACCCAGCTGGGACACAGCCCTCCTTGCAGGCACTTACTCACTCTGACAGCAGCCAGCGGACACGCTGCC